TAAAAAAAGAAAAAATTCTACTTTGTAATGTTGGTAATGATTTTATAAAAAGTATACAAAGAAGAAGATGAAGAAAATGGAAAACATTTAAAAAATTTTTTTTAGAAAATTGGTGAAAGGTAATCTGAAAAGAGAGAAAAGGATGTAATGATAAAAACTAAATGATATATTGATTTATGTCAGAAAAAAATTTAAAATTGATGATGGTAACTTTTTGTGTTGCAGGTGTTGTTTGTATGTTGTTTGCCTTTGATTTCCACCTTTGGTTACTACGGTTTTACTACGGTTATCAAAGTGTGAAGAAAAAAATAATTTCATGGTTGTAAACTAAAAAAAAAAAAAAATTTGGAAAAAACAAAAGTGTTAAAAAATTAACAAAAGGTAACATGGAGGAGGAAGAATAATTTTTTTTTTTCATTTCATTTCTAATAATAAAAGGATGTATCACGTTACGACGAGGAGGTTATATCGTCGTGTCGTGATTATAATATTTAAACATAATTATTTCATGGAAGTTTCGAATACCACGAATGCAATTTTATTATTATTATTATTATTATTATTGTACTTTAATTAAATCATATTGTAAAAGTTACTACTTTCGAAAATTAAAAAATTATTACGTTTTGCTAACGTCGAAAACATGATCTTAATTTAACAAAAGAAAATGGTGTGTTGAGTAGATTTATTTTAAAAATAATAATAATAAGTTTTTTTTGCTTCAAGCAAGAAATAATGCATCTATAAATAAATTGAAAAAAGATAGAATGTAAAAGTAACATGTAACTGTTAATAATAATAATATTTAACGAACGGAAATGAAATTTTTTTTTTAAAGAGACAAACTGACTCACCACGTAGACTATTATTATTATTATTATTATTAATAAATAAAGTCAGTCTAATTAAAATTGATTTTTTTTCTAGAACTTTAAATACGCTTGGCTAATCGTTAAGAACTTTTTATTGAATTATTAAACGTTTTGTGATACATTGAAGCTAAATGATTGTAAAACAAAATTTTTTTTCAAGTTCGCCATATTGAAAAATGAAAACTTTGGTAATAAAAAAAAAAACATTTTGCGTTATTGTAATCACGTTTTTTTTTTTTTTAAACAATCTTATCAGAATTTTATGCTTTTTTTTAGGTTAAATTTAAATTTTTAAGTTTTAAAGTAAAAAAAAAAAAACAAAATGGCGACAATTAAATTGTCTTAATTAATTTATAAATGTGAAGAGAATTGAAGTCTTAAAAAACAAAACAAAGGTGAAAACGGAGCGGTTGTAATTATTTCATTGAATTTGGTTCAGTGAGTATAAATTTATATTTTTATCTCCCCCCCCCCGTCGGAAGATTATTTTATTTTTATTTTTTTTTTTCAGTGCCCCCCACTTATTCGTATTGGTTCCAGTAAATAAGCTCTTGAGGGCGCCATTTTCTCTCTCTCTCTTTATATATTAACCGCACCCGCGCCATCATCGTTTTCAGTCAGAAACAAAATAAATTTTGTGGAGAAACATTTTTTTAAAAAAAAAAATCATTTTATAAAAATCACTTCATCGAGTGACACACACACACGCACACAGAGTTACGGTGAATAATAGCAAAAAAAAAAAAATTGTGAACTTACTGAATCATTTTTTTAAAAACTTTTAATCAAAATGGTGAGTTTTCTTTTCTCTTTTTTTTTTTTTTTTATGATTTTTAAAATCTGCCATAACTTTTTTTATTTTAAGGTACAAAATCATTTTAATCATTTCGCGTACCTGTTTTTTTTTTCTTTTACTTTTTACCAGCCTGTAATTTTTTTTTTGCGAATCATTCATTAGTTGTAATTTCCTTTTTCGATTCAATTTTATCATTATTATCATTATTATTATTATTATTATTTTCTTTAATGGATTTTTTAAAACCTTTTTCTGTTTTTATTATTATCGTGTCACAATTTTTTAAATTTTTACCCCCCCCCCAAAAAAAATTTTATAAAGTTTAAATGACTTCTTACTTACTTGATTATATTTCTTATCCATTTTCCCCCCACTCCCCGCGATTGATAATGATAATTATTTATTTTAGAATTTTCTTTTACCCGGAAAAACGATTTGAAATGTTACAAAAAAAGGAAAAATTATTTTTTTTCGAAAATAGAAAAACCAAAAAAACAATTATCGAAATTGACGGTTAATAATAATAATAATAATAATGAAATAAATATGGGTGGAGCAAATGTATATAATTTTATTATTATTATTATCGTGACATTTATCGAAAAAAATTTTCTTTTGTTTTGTATTTTTTTTTTTTTTAATTTTCTGGGGAGTATCGTTTTATTTTAAATAAAAAAATTACTTTTTTTCATTGTCTCACGCCCGAGCCCCACCTTATTAAAAAAAATTGTCTGTTAAATTTTTGGTTGGTTAATCAATTGTGTTTAAAAATTACTCCCCCCCCCCAAAATAATAATAATAATATTTAAGAAAGTTGTACGTTTTACATATTTTTTTAATAAAAAAAAAAAAAAAAATTTTCACGGTTAGAAATGAGGTTGGAAAAAAAAAAAAAGAAAACATGACATAAAATTAATTGAAATCATTTTTTTTTTTTTTTCAAGTCGAAATGTTCCAGTTTATTATTTTCCGAGTTTAATTACCATAGAAATTATCATTATTATCATTATTATCATTATTATTATTATTATTATTACTTAACGCTTGTAAAACGTATATACGTAAAAATATTTAAAAATTATTATTATTATTATTATTATTATTATTATTATTATTATTATTATTATTATTATTATTATACCTGTAAGAAAGAACATTTAAAACTTTTTTTTAATTATTATTATCGTCGTCGTCGTCGTCTTTATTATTATTATTATTATGATTATGATTATTATTATTATTTTTATTATTATTATTATTTTGTTTTTTTATGTTGCGATGAATAATTCGTCTGCTTTTATTTTTAACGAAAAAAAAAAAAAATAAGAAAAATTTTTATGTCGAATCATTTCTGTAAATAATTTTGTGGGGATTTTTTTTGAAACCGCAACGTTGCCCCCCCCCCAAAAATAAAAAAATTTTCTTTTTGTGTGTGTGTGTGTGTGTGTGTGTAATTGGTTTGTCCACCTACCTATCCCCCCCCCGCCGTTCCCCCAACACCAGTAATTTTTTTTTTTTTAAAAATAATCCAATTAAAAAATAATTTTCTTCGTTATTACCTTTAATTGACCGAACCTTGGGTAATTTAATTTTTTTAATTTTTTTTTTTTTATCCATTAATTTATATCGCCATTTTTTTTTTTATTCTATTTCCGGTTTTTAAAAAAAATTTATTTTTCTAGAAAATTTTTTTCAACGATTTTTACAATCGATAAGAAGAAAACAAAAAATAGAAAAAAAAAAAAACGCAAAATTATTATGAATGAAGAGAAAGAATAAAAAAAAAAAAAAAAAAAATTTAAAAGGAAAAACGTGAGTGAGAAGAAGAAGAAGAAGGATGGAAGGAGGAAAAGGGGGAGGAGAAGGAAAAAAATTTTGGATTACGTTCGATTTTTAATGATTACTCTCGTGATTTTCTGTTTTTTTCTTCATTTCGATTAATTTTTCGATTGTAATTTACAGTCTACGTAGTAATTACCTTCACTCGATTATTATTATTATTATTATTATTATTATTATTATTATTATTTCTAATTGTAAAAAAAAAATGATTGGTCGAAGAAATTGTAGTATTGGGTGCGTAATGGAATATCGCAAGTTTTGATTTTTTTCACGTGTGAGATTCATATCGAATTTTTTTTTTTCCATGGAAGAATCGATAGAGAGAGAGAGAGGGGGGGAGAGAGAGAGAGAAAGAGAGAGAGAGATCATTGACGTCATTTACATTTATTTAAATTCAAAACATAAACGCCGGAAGGTGAAATAAACCATTTTGTCCATTTTTATACTAGTTGGTCGTTGCGAACGTCGTTACCATATAAAACCTTAAAAAAAAAAAAAAAATTACGGATCATTATTATTATCATCATCATCATCATCATCATCATTTTTTATTTTCACGGTCGAAAATTTTTCTTTGTCTGAAAGCAATGACTGTTTAAAAATAAAAAATAATAATAATAATAAAAATTATCATTCGTTACAGTTGAATGAAATTTCTTTTTTTTTTTTTTTTGCGGTTTTCCAAAGAAATTATTATTATTATTATTATTGAGATGATTTTTGTGGTTTCTGAATCATAGATTAAAAAAATTTTCTTACCGTTTTCCACCGGTCAATTTTTGGTTTGTAAAAAAATTATTCTAGAAGGAGGAAAAGATTGTTTGGGTTTTTTTTAGTAAAACCGTTATTTTTTAAAGATAATTAACGTTTTAATGTGTGTTTTAAAAGAGGAATGACGTGACCAAATACGAAATCATTTAGGAGTGGAGGGGGAGGAGAGGGGAGGGGAAGAGGGAAAAAGAAAAATTGATTTAAGTTCATTTCGTTAATCCGTCGCAGTCATTAATTTCCCCCCTTCCCCCTTCCTCCTCCGCCGACTAATTATC